CTAAGATGTTCTCTTCAACAGATCAAAATTATTTTCCTATTGTATTTCATATGTATTTCATACATATTCACATGTATATATTTCAAAGGTATATGTATATACCTGGAGTACCTAAGCTACTAGAAATGACCCCATTTTACCTCCACACAATTTACTAAGGGGATATCTTCTCAGGTTATCAGTTCCAACTCTGGAACAATTAGGCTAAACCAACAGTTCCCAGCAAGTGGGTTTCATACTTCCTGACCCTCCCAAAATACAAATCTGATCAGGTCACTTCCTTACTTCAAATCCTTCAGTGGCTCCCAGTGCCTTTAGAAGGAAGTCCAGACAGCTCTGTCTGACCCGACTTCTGCTTCTCTATCAAATGTCATGAGATGGCATGCTCTTCGCTCCTCCACACCTAGCAACCCAGAATCCTCTCAGAGCGATGGACCCACCATGCTCTCTCCTGCTTCAGGGCCCCCTGCTACCTGGACCACACCTAGCCCTTCCCTTCCCCTCCCCCACCCAACTCCTGCTCATCCTTTGGGTCTCAGCTCACAGATCACTTCCTCAGTGACTCAGTCCTTAACACCAGACTCAGTGAGTTACAAGTGCGGCCACTCACTACCTCACAGCTTGTTCCCCACCTGCCACATTTTGAAACCAATTAATTCATACTCTTGTGCTTAGTGACTATCTCCCCTACTAGAGGAGAAGTTCCCTCAGGTAAAAAATATCTCTGTGCCCAGGACGATGTCTCTTAGTCAGGCTCCACACGTGTTGGTTGACTGAATTTCTGATCATGTGGGTCTTACTGAATTCAGTAGAGTCCAAAAGTAGACTAAATAATAAATATGCCAAGATTTATGCACTACTTCTCTTTCAGAATTAGGTAGCTTCTGTGATTAATAAAATATAAATTCAATGAAAACCTTTGCTGAATTCCTCTTTGCTTTTTGCTATTTAATTTCTTAACCAATAAACACCAAAAACTCATCTATTGCATTAGTACTATGTGGGAAACCTCCACCCCACACAGACATCCAAAATGGTATTAAAAGCAGTCCTCATGTTCATATACCATTTAATAGAACAATTTAAAATCATTCTATCACTGTAAGCCTATTGTTAATAAGGGAAACCATTTCCCAACTTATACCAACAACAACAAAAAAAGTCCCTTAGTATAGCAGGGACTGGGTTCTCTCTTGTTGCATTGGAAATCCTTAATTACTAAGCCCTTTTCTGCCATGCTAAGAATCTCTGCACATTTCAAGTTCTAATAAACACAATGAAAAGGAGAGTCAGTAACAGTTAATATATAGGTCTCTTCAAAGGCATTCTGAGGAACCTCAGTGACCTCTGACTGTTCAAAATTTACCTGGAAACACCACTCATTTCTCACTGTGATCCACAAGGTTTCTCTTGATAAGAGATCTAGAGGTTTGTATATCATAATTAACAACAGACAAAATAAATGAGTGCACACAAACACCCTTCAATCAAAAGTGCAACTATTTTCGTAGATGCCATTTTTCCTCATTCCTCATTCAACATATATTTACTGAGCCCCTACTCATATATTAACCGTACCGTGCTAAGCATACAAAGACAAAATTCCTGCCCTTGGCCAGTTTGCTGACACAGTTACCACACAGCACCCAAGTAGTTTCTTAGAGTCATCACAGGGTGCTCTGGGAAAGGACAAGGCAGAATGCCTAAAGACAAATCTCAGAGACATTGTCAGGGGAAAAGTCCTTCTGAGAGTGTTAATTCTCAGAAATGAAGCGTGCTACCTCCTTAACACACACGGACCCCGAATTCAAAGGTTTGGGAAAAGAGCAAAAGTCAGAAACACTTTCCTTAAACAAAAGTCATGCTGTATGTCTAGCTGTCATGTATTTGACATTAAGCACATAAAAATTACCATTACTGTCACATTAAACTACTTTTTTTAAAGACATCAAAAGCTTAAAGGGCTCACTTAAGCATGTGAGACTTTGTAAGTTTATACAATTATTGACAGTAAGATAAAGCAAAATAGGTCAAACTCTGTTGACATTACTAAATACATTCAAAACAGCTTCAACAATGTTGCCAAAGAGATTAGCACTGCCATAATATACTAGAAACTTGAATTTTGCTGCTCTTCAAAAATTGATATAATAACTTACTGGTGGGGGGGGGGAACCTTTGGAAAAATCAATTCCCCAAACTAGACATAACAATTTTAAAATGAACCTCTTTCCATTTTTTGAGTTGCACTCAAGCCTTTTAATGCTTTATACAGTGCCTTGCTACAGCAGTATAACATTACACTCACACTGCCTTGTCACAAAACAACTAGAGACAAAAACTGTTTCCCAGCTTATACTCATAAAATGGGAATCAACTAAGTAGACATAGCCTCCAAGTCTCTGAAAGTAGGTAGCATATAAATTATGCATTTACAAAACAACAGGATAACCCAACTTGGTCTATTTTGCAAAATTTCATCAAGAATGAACTAAAAAATATTTGCTAACACTTGGCATTCGATGCTATATGTTGGCTACTGTGCTAGGATAAGCTAGCACGTGTAAAATGCCTAACTCTATTGCTATTATTCCCATTTAACAGGTAAAAAAAGCTGAGACTTGCAGAAGTTGAATGGTCCACAATCCCACAGCTGGTCAAGGTGGCAGAGCTAGAAATCAGACCAAAATCTTTCCACTAAACTGAGTGTTTATTACCTGGCATTCCCAAATCCTCTGGTGTGCTTTTTGAGGAGAGGAACAAGGGAGTTTTCATTTGATCCTTAAAGAGGTCCACAACCCCACAAACGGTGAAGACTCCTTGCCCCATACCATCACCAGTGTAACCAGAAAATGCACTGGACTTCAACCCCTTTCACAAAGATTATCCCTCCTCTACTCCACAAGAGGGGAAAAAAATGATGTGGTTTAGTTTTAGTTTCACTTTAAAATTCTCAGAGCAAGTCAAGATTTTGCTCCTGAGCAATTTCCAGCATCCCATGCCACAGGTTAAGCTACATAATAAACTGCAATACTGTATCAGTTTACATGCAATTCTGAGATTTCACGAATAGTGATACATGTTATATAATTATTCCACTTTCCAAAATGTGTTTCAATCAACCAATTCTCACTGCACTGCCTGTGAAATAAGTTATCATATCGACTTCCAATAAAGCAAAGCACTGTCACCCTGGGGCCAGGCAATAAATCAGCGACGGAATGGGGATCAGAAGTTCCCTGACAATATCCCTCCCCTCCACCTGCAAGATCATCACTTACCATGGAGCATCGTCCTAGCTAAGCAGAAAACATAAAGCAACTAACTACCCTCTTGTCTACCAGCTGCAATACTAAATTAGGATGTATTGGTAAATCATTAAGTTAGGGTACACCTGCAGCTTCCCAGTGCCAGTGTGCTTATCTCTGGAAGTAGAGGAAGAAGTTAAGGAGCAAACACGTGACACATGCCTTCGCATCTTGAAAGGGAGATGTAATCAGCAAAGAACGCTAGGACAGTACAGGGTTTGGTCACCTTCGCCAGGATGTAGCTCTGTGATGGGTGAGGCACTCAGCAAACTCCTGACATCCCGCCGCTAGGATCGACTTGGAACTGCCGATTCATCTGAAATTCCTGGTAAATGTGAAACTGAACGTCAACTTAAAGTTCCTCCTTTTACAGATTATAGAACTGAACCTCGAGGAGTGAAGTGATATACCGAAGGTCTCACAGCTCAGTAGCAGAGACAGTTCTAGAAAGCAAGTCTCCAGACACTTAATCAGGATCCTTGCAATGGGGGTTAGGGGAATTAGGGAATGGGTCATGGTTACTGCAAGAGGGTTGGCCAAGAACCAGCTAAGCAGCTAAGGCTTATTCCATCTCTGCCAGGCTAGGACTCGCCTCCTCTCACCTTGTGCCAGATCCAGTTTTTGCTTCCATGCTGGGGACCCTGGGGGCTACTGCCAGGGCACTGGCCTCTGATTGCTTACTCTAAGGGACAAAGGCAATTATTTACGAAAGCTAACCCCATCCAAGATGAGGAAAATACAACGCTGGCACTCAGGAAATAATTTCACAATACGTCTATGTTAGGGTGATGTTTTATTTACGGTCCTGCCTGATCCAGATGACTTCCCCAGAAGAAACGTCCAAAGCAAACAATCTTCAAGACATGAAGAATCGTACGCTTCTGTAACTATCCTCCAAAAGCAGAAAATAAGCCGGAAAAAGTAGCTAGGAGGACGCTAGGGTCCTACGCTCAGCGTGTCAGGAAGCGACCCACAAGTTCTGGAGGAACATCCTTCCAGGAAAGTGGGCAGATACAGAACCCCTCCCCTTGGCTCCCCATACTCGCTTTGGTGACAAGCGTTCATCTGGAAACGCTGGAACCAAGTCTGAACCGGAGCTGCAGGCGCGCACGCCCGCGCCGCCGAGGGAACGCGGGGAGTCCTCTTCTCCCAGAGTAGGGACGTGCCAAAACCATCCGCGGGCGATCCCGGGGGCCTGGCGCCATTGAAACCCCCGCGCGCAACTCCGCCGCTACCGCTGCCCCGCTGCCCCTCTGCCTCCCACCTCCAAGGCACCATTTCTCTCCTTCAACTCCCTGCCCCTCGGCCCAAGCCCTTCTGTGGGAAACAACGCCCACTTTGGAGAATCAGGGAGCTGAGTTGTGGGGACATGCCAGGTGTCCAGATCACATCCATGCATAGACCGACCAAGGCAGATACAGACATGAAGGAGTTTGCTTCTCTGACATTTTTAAAACACATCATTGGCAGCACCTGGAGACACACTCGGCGGTAACAACCACAGGGAAGTCAATAACCCACAGGGGGGCTCCTAACTGTCGCTGCCCCGGGCTCGGGGCAGAGCGCGTGGGGTCCCTCCCCATCTCCAGGCCACTGGGCTCTCCTGCCCACCGCCTGCGCGCGGGATGGGAAGCTGGGGTCGCCCGACTGCCGGGACCCAGAGGGGGCGAGATGGGGAAAGGCGGGGCCCACCTCCTCGTCCTGCTCCTCCTGGGACGCGCTGCTGCCCCGGGGCGCGGGCAGCGCAGCTCCTCCGGGGGGTGGCGGCGGCAGCGCAGGGACTCCGCGCTCGAGCAACACGCGTGCCGGAGCCCACGCGGCGGGCGGCCGGGCCCCCAGGGCGCCTCCCGGCGGCGGCGGCGGCGGCGGCGGCAGCTGCTGCTTTCTGGAGAAGCCGCCGGGCTCCCCTTCCTCCGACAGAGTTTCTGAGCCCGAGGAGGACTCGGCCGAGGAAGCACCCAGAGAAGACGCGGCGACCGTCACAGAGGCTGGAGTCCGGCTGTCGTGGCTGCTGCAGCCGCGGGGCACCGGCACTGGCGCCTCCGAAACTTTCTCCCCCATTTCCCTGTCCGGCCCAAAGTGCTGCCCGAGAGGCGGCGGGGGCGCGGCGCGCACTCAGCGCCTCCAGGGGAAGACGCGGGCTCCTGGGCTCTGGCTCACCGGCGCTGCCGCTCCCGGGCTGCAGGGAGCCCCGCCGGCGACTACATGGCCGCGGCGGGGCCGCAGGAGCCCCCTGCTAAGTTCTCAGGCGCCCGAGCTCGGCACCGGGGGCTCGCCCGCGCGGGAACATGTTCGGTCGGGTCCGCGAGCGGCGCTCCACACTCCAAGGGGCTCCCGTGCTGCGCCCGAGCCGCCGGGACTGCGGCTTCTCGGGCAAACCTGCCTCCGGGACGGAGCAAGGAGACGGGCAGCCCGCGGAGCCAATGGCAGGGCAGGCGCGCCGGTGGGCGGAGGCTGCGGCGCCCCCGGCCGTGCGGGCGTCAGGTAGGGGAGGCGGGGCCCGGGCGCCGGCCTCGGTCGGGCTGGAGCGCTGGGGCGCGGAGGGCAGGGACAAGGGAACGGAGGGTGGGGGCGCAGCCCAGATTTGAAGCCGAGGACTGAGACTCCGAACTTAGCGGGGGAGTGGCTGGCCAGCCTTGGGACGTCAGAGGGAGACGGCGAGGGGATGCTGAGACCTTGTAGGAGAACTGGACTTTGTCTCCAAAAAGTGGAATCGAGAAATCAGACCAGAAGGAGAAGGAGGGCTCTGTAGGGAAAAAAGGAAGCGCGCACACAGTCACGCACGCACGCGGACCCACCAGCGTGTTGGAGGGAAAGAGGAGAAACTTCGTGGTACAGTGAGCGAACCCAAAGGAAGGTGACCTCTAATCTCTGCTTTTCCGTTTAAGCTCTTCGGACCTCAGTTTCCTCAACTGTAAATGGCTACTGGTCTTGTCTGGCTATGGGCAAGTTTAAAGCGAATATATATAATGCATCAGCAGAGTGTCTGGCTTGGATACACGGAGAGTTTTTAGAAGACTAGTTCCTGTTTGTAAATTAAAAAGTTAATTGTGAGACTTGCACCTTTTGATAGGGAGGAAAATAACAACGTATGTCCTTGTATTTAATTAGGACCAAGCTCTGTGGTGCTACTCATTGTCTGTCTAGGTATAATCAGCTAAGCAGAGGATGAAAAGAATTCACTTTCCAATGTAAGTTCTCCTAGCCCTGGGTTGTAAACCAACACGATGCAGGACAGGTTGCTTCATTTTCTTTACCTCTAAGAACTAGGAGAAAGAACTTTCACTAAAGGTACCAATAGAATACCCTTAAGGCCCTCCCTGGAGCTGGAGGATGCTGCCTGTCCAGTGACTGGAATTTCCTTGGAAGCCAGCAGTCAGCGCAGCAGTGGGAAATAAATGATTCTTCTCTTGCCTTCAGCTCTAGCCCCATTCTGAGCTCTGGCACAGTGACGTGGGATATAAATTCAACCGCTTCAATTCCATGTACGTTGATTGAGATCTGTGCCAGATGCTTGCAGGGGATACAAAGATTAATAAGTGAGGTCCCCTGCCCTTGAGCAGCTTATGGTCAAGCAAGAGATTGATACTGCATAATATAGCTCCATTACCCATTTTAGAAGCTGTGATAAGTGCTACAGGAAACAATGTGTGTGGGAGAAGAGGGAAGAGTTACAGAAAAACAGTAGCAGGTCCTTGAGCATCTTAGATCTCTCTTTGTCAGAACAGCCTTGCCAAAGATTCTTAAGAACTGGAGGATCCTAATTGAAAGTCCCTTCAGCTAATGAGCCTTTCATGCTATCATGGTATTTACAAACGACACATCACACAGAGGGTTTCATCAGATTGGACAGCAACCTTTGTCCTGATCAGTTTCCTACCCTCACGATGAAGGGGAAGGAAATATGATGGGTCCATCGTGCCTTAGATGGCCATACTGCAAAATGGACTCCAGCTGTCAGGCTTTCATTGTAACACTTCGGAATTATCCACAGGGATATGAAGACCTGCTGAGGCAAAAGGGCAAGTCTAGTGGCAGTTAAGTTGTGAGAGCAAGGCTGAAGAGAGAGCACAGTGGGGCAGTCCCAATGTAACCATGGCCTTACAATTACTTTCCTATTTAGGAGTTCTGGTCTTTATCTGAGCCCCTATGTGGTTGATTCATCAGAGCTGAACTGAAATGACAATTTCAGACATGTACGTAAAAGAAGAGGAGGGGTTGCTTTTCAGAACATACGGAAATAAGAAGCAAGGTCATGGTCTGAATAACCGACAGCAAGAATGACAATAGTTGTTATCGCTGAGTCCTCTGTATCTTCTCTGGATGGCCTCATTTAATCCTGGCAACAACCTCGTGAAACAGATTCTATTATTCCCATTTTATTGATTAAGAAACTGAGGATCTGGAAAGGTCACACAAAAAGTAAGCAGTGGTTTGGAACACAGCAGTCTGGTTCCAACGCTCTTAGGCATTCAGTATTAATATAATGCCACTCAAAAAAGACAGCTTTTTCAAATATATATGTGTATACTATATTATAAATATCCATAGGGAAGAAACTTTGTTGTGTTGGTTCAATATGTAAAAGGAAATACTTAAGGAACAGATTTGTTTTTCCCACAAACATTTTTAAGGCACTTACTATGTGCCAAGCAGAATTTTAAGCACTTTAAAATGTTAGTGTACTTAATTCTCATATCAGCCCAATGAGGTAGCTACTATTGCTATTCTCATATGATATTTGTGAAATGTGTGAAAACTGTGACAGAGAAGTAATTCAGCTAAAGTTGCACAGCTAGCAAGTGATAGAGCCAGGATTCAGATTTGAACATTTGGCTCTAGCATCTGTGATCTTAACCCCAACAGATAAAAGTCAAGTACTAGATCAGTATTTCTTTAACTTTTTAAATCTGAACCTCAAAAAAGAAATATATTTCACGCTGGAACTCACAACACACATGCGTACTTGCAAATACAAATCAAATGTCATGAAACAATATTTACCCTTCCTTCAAGTAGCCTGAAATTTATATTTTATTGAAAATAAAGATGCTAGTTGTAGTCCACTAAATAGATTTCATATTCTACTTCAAAATTTGCAGTTTAAAAGTGTACATGGACTCTGTGGCCTTGGAGGCAATGCCACACATCTACAACCATCTGATCTTTGACAAACCTGACAACCAATGGGGAAAGGATTCCCTGTTGAATAAATAGTGTTGTAAAAACTGGCTAGCAATGTGCAGAAAGCAGAAACTGGACCCCTTCCTGACACCTTACACTAAAATTAACTCCAAATGGATTAAAGACTTAAACATAAGACCTAACACCATAAAAACCCTAGAAGAAAACCTAGGCAAAACCATTCAGATCATAGGCATAGACAGGGACTTCATGACTAAAACACCAAAAGCACTGGCAACAAAAGCTGAAATAGACAAATGGGATCTAATTAAACTCCAGAGCTTCTGTACAGCAAAAGAAACAATCATTAGAGTGAACCAGCAACCAACAGAATGGGAAAAAAATTTTGCAATCCACCCATCTGACAACAGGCTAATATCCAGAATCCACAAAGAACTAAAACAGATTTACAAGAAAGAAAGAAACAAGCCCATTCAAAAGTGGGCAAAGGACATGAATAGACACTTTTCTAAAGAAGACATATATGAAGCCAACAAACATATGAAAAAATGCTCATCACTACTGGTCACTAGAGAAATGCAAATCAAAACCACATTGAGATACCATCTCATGCCAGTTAGAATGGCAATCATTAAAGAAAATCTGGAGACAACAGATGCTAGAGAGGATGTGGAGAAATAGGAACACTCTTACACTGTTGGTGGGAGTGTAAATTAGTTCAACCATTGTGGAAGACAGTGTGGCAATTCCTCAAGGACCTAGCAATAGAAATTCCATTTGACCCAGCAATCCCATTACTGGGTGTATATCCAAAGGATTATAAATGATTGTATTATAAATACACATGCATGTGTATGTTCATTGCACCACTGTTTACAATAGCAAAAATCTGGAACCAACCCAAATCCCCATTGATGATAGACTGGACAAGGAAAATGTGGCACATATACACCATGGAATACTATGCAACCATAAAAAGCAATGAGTTTGTGTCCTTTGTAGAGACATGGATGACTCTGGAAACCATCATTCTCAGCAAACTGACACAAGAACAGAAAATCAAACACTACATGTTCTCACTCATAGGTGGGTGTTGAAAATGAGAACACATGGACACAGGGAAGGTAGCATCACACACTGGGGTCTGTTCAGTGGAGCCAGAGGAAGGACAGTGGGGTGTGGGGAGGTTGGGGAGGGATAACATGGGGAGAAATGCCAGATAGAGGTGACAGGGGGATGGTGGCAGCAAACCACATTGCCATGTATGTACCTATGCCATAATCCTGCATATTCTGCACATATACCCCAGAAGCTAAAGTGCAATAAAATATATATGTATATATATAGTGTGTACATGGTCACCTCCACACCTGCCTGTGAGGGAAATAAGGGAAATAAACTGTAGTCCAGGCTAAGAGTATCCAGAGCGGAACTGGGCTAACTCAAAAGATAACTATAAATAGAAGATGACCACAGAGTCAAGATAGTTCCCCAGAAGTATCCTATTTGGACCCATGGATAAATTTCCTGGAGTGTTGGCAAACCACTGGACCAAAATCAGTTTTGATTGATCCAAATCCTGAAGTTCAACTTTCCTATCTTGTTAATTAAATAATATTTTCTCACTGGCCAGAAATGGTCCCCCTCCAAGAGACATTTTTATAAATGTGTCTAGTGTTGGAGACTGTGGGACCAGAGCTGAGTGTGAAAGCACAGCTTTTTCTCTGCAGTTTCACCATAGGCAGAAGTCAGAAAAATAAAAACAACATAATCACAACTTCTGAAAAACCAATAGTGTAGCTTCACATGACAGAACCAGACTAGCCTAAGGGGAGGAGAGACAAGGTCAGCCTACTCCCAGGTAATCAGTCTCCATGTGTTCTCTGAGACATGCTCCCAAAGTGTTTGGTTCAAGGACAGCACTCCTGGGAATCTGGTAAGTGTTCATTGTGTTTTGTGATTGAATGCTCACCTCTGGTTTCTATGTTGTTCTCAGAAGTGATGTTGTTCTCAGACACTTCTTCTGGGAGTCTCTGTTGTCTCTGCCATGTAGGTGGGGGCTGTTGTGAATGTCAAGCTCTGTCTCTTCCAGATGGAGGATGTTCCAGCACAAGTTATCACACCCTTAAATCCACTCCCAGTCTACTCCCACAAGTCACCACACCCTTAAGTCTATTCCCAGTAGAAAGTCTACCTTTCTCCCAAACATTAGGTTGGGAGAAAGGTCAACCATCC